CACCTATTGAGACAGCATCCTCTTTTGTGTAGACTGTGGTCCTTGGGGAAAAGTCCTTATCTTTGGGAAAGTGTAGCCAGGCCAATGGGTTTGCCCAGTGGAGGCATTAAGGGCGAAATAGTTCTGGCCTCTTTTTCCATCACCAGCCTTCATGGCCTCATGTATGGATGCTAAAAGATGAAGGATGGCTGGATCAATCAGAACTGCAAACTTTGTCTCCCGAAAGTCCTGTAAGACAGCCCTGCTCTGTACCCCTCTGATGGAGCCTGGCACGGAAGGAGAGAGGTTTAGCCCCCACTTTGCCCCCTGTGGAGAAGCTTTGCATCTGGAGACAGGATTTGGCCCCACAAGGATGTCAGAAGGCCCCAGTGGTACCCAGCCGAAGTGGTAGTGTTAGGCAGACTCAACCCCTAGCAGAAGAGGAGTAAATCCTCAGCCGTTGTCCAGCAACTGCTCAGCTTCATCTGTGAGCACGTGAGTCACCTCCTGGGACTCCTAGAAACACTTGGAGGATTAAGCAGGCAGTGGAGTCCTACTTGAGCCAGGGAACTTGCTTGCCTACTGGCTTCTTCCTGGTAAAGGTGTCAGCAGCCTAGAGTTATGTGAGAAGGGAAAGGAGTTTTTTTCTTCCATTTTTTTCCTCCCAATTTTTGTCCACAGACACTTCCAAGCATCTGCTGGCTACAAGGCTGGACCTCCAGCTTCCTGCCTTGAGTGTGCTCAGGACTGGGAGGCTGCCCGACAGAGCTATTGGTGGCTGTGGTGTGGACTGTTGTTGGGCCTTAGGGCCCAGTTGCTGTGTGACTGGACCCAGTACTGCACAGACAGTGCTCCCAGCAGCAGCTGCTACCAGCACCAGCAATTCCTCAGTGTGAAAGCACTCTCCAGCAGTCATTCCAGTGCATCTGAATGGGTTTCTGTTGGTGAAGTCATTTATTTCTGGTGTCAGGGAGGCCTGGGGCAGCTCCCCACCCTGCTCCGCCCCTTGCTGTACGTACTCTGAGCATCAGGGAGTCTTCTGTTCCCAGCCCTGGAAATCTGCTGCAGATGCAGGTCTTTGTCTGGAATTCCTAGTGGGGTGAGAGGAGGTCAAGGGCAGTGCCCTTTGGTTCCCTTGCAGCAGAGGCTGGTGGTAAGAGGCTAAAGTCCCCCTCATCTCCTGCCCCCCATCCCAGGGGAGCAGACTGTTAGTTTGGGCACTGGGTTAAAGTTTCCTGGTCTGAAGTGCGGGGAGTGTGGCTAGCTGTACATCTCTGGGTTTGCAAGGCCACCTGACACTTTTCTTGGGACCTACCCTGTCCCAGGACCACTGGGTACACCCCTGAGCCTGTCTGAGGACTTTCTCCAAGAGCATCTTCCTCCCCTGGGAGATGCCCCCAGATATCCATTTCCCCTCTTTCTTTAGAGGCCGCAGCTCACCAGGCAGCGGCTGCCACAAAGCTCTAGTTGCAGGGAAGGGCACTGTCCAGTCCTGGGGTAGAACCAGCATGATGCATGTGCCCATTGTGGTCATGAGGCTTGGGGACTGCGTGTGAACTTGTCTGCATGTGCGTGCCTGTGTGTCTGTGAGCTGTGGCTGCAGCATATATGTGCCTGCATATTGTCTTAGTGTTTGCACGTGACCCTGCCTGAGGATGTGAGTGCCTGTGGGAACTCTGTGGAAGTCAGTGTGTTTATTTGTGCATTTACCTGGGTGAGATTTCATGCAGGCCTCTGTGTGTCTAAATCTGCATGTGTGTGCATGCATCTTTGTGCGTGGGGGTGTGTGCCTATGTCTGAATGGGCTGTGTGGCCCCTGTGTCTGTGTGCGCCTCTCTCCAGTCTTCCTTCATTCCTCTTAGTCCTTCTCACCCTGTCACCAGAGGATTTATGGGAAGTCTCAGGGAGGAGGTGGTGGCTGAGGAGGGTAGACCTCAGATGTGTGTCTCTTTGCCCTCAGAGTTGCTCTGGAGCCAGAGGGGCCGTCACTGCCCAGGCCCTAATCACCTCTCCTGAGAGAAAATCATCAATCTGCTTGTCAGAGGGAAATGGCTATTTGTCTAACTCTGGAAGGGCCCAAGGGCAGGGCTGGTTCTGAGTCATCACTGTCTCCTGGGCCCAGCACAGAGTAGGGGCAGGGGCAGTGAGTGACTGACTGCTGAGCTCAGGAGATGCACAGGCTGTGCACTCTGGGAGCTGACACAGGTGGGCTGCCTGGTGGGGGTGGGGGGCAGTCTGCAGGAGGTGGAAGGGTTAGGAGAAGTGAGGGCTGAGGGAATGGGGCCTGGTCAAGGCTGTGTCCACTGGGGATCCTGGGTGAGTACTGGGAGTAGGGTGGGAGCAGCATCCCCTCTTGATAGACCAGGAAGAACATGGCTACCTTAGGACCTAGAGGCACTTGGCCCTGCTTCCCAGGGCCCTGCTGACGGGAGGCCTCTGGTGGAGGGAGGGTTCTGTTGGGGTGTTTCCTGAGGATGGGCAGGCTTCTCTCTTTTCTCCCTACCCTATTGTCAGTGCCTGGGGCATGTTTTGGCAATCTTCCCATCTGTGTCACTGTCTGCTAAGTGACTTCCTGAGAGAAATTAATGGACTACTAGAGGCCAGGGCCCCAGGCCTGAGGTACAGCTCTGCTACTGACCAGAGGCTCTTCTCTGGGCCTCCATTTCCCCCTGTGCAGTGGCGATGGCTCTTCACAGTCTGGCCATTTAGGGTCCTATGGCGGGTAAGTCCCTTTCAGCAGCCAGAGGTCACAGTGGTGGGGACAGACACTCCTGTGCATGTTCTTCCTCACACTCCCCTTTCTATCCTTCGCCACTAGTCTGTCTCTGGCCCCAGCAGGAAACTTCTGTGCCGCTGGGTCTCAGGAGAGAGTCCATTCATGGTAGCTCAGGCATGATGCCCCTACATGGTGGGGGAGCAGGAACATGTAGACACTCAGAGTGTTCTTCTGGGGTTGGCTGTACATTTGGGAGAAGTGGGAGCCAGAGCCAGAGTTCATAGTGAAGGGGTGGGGATGTGGCAAAGGGCAGGGCTGAGTGATTTCTTTCTCCTGGTACACATGGCTCTTGGCCAGTGAGGGCCAAACATATGCAGCAGGTTGCATATGTTTATTTGCTCATTTGTCAGACGTTGAGCACTTATTCTGGGCCAGAGCCTCTCCCTTGGCCTAGAGGGACCCAGACCACTTCCGGTCTTTTAAGATCCCGGTATATTGAGAAACCAAGGTGCTGAATTTGTGTCCTCTTTGGTTCTCCCCCACATTGAATTGGAACGGGCCTTGTGACAGTCTTGGGCAAAGAGAATGCATTGAAAGGGTCAATGTGGAAGTTCTGGTCTGGTCCTTTAGGGGCCTTTTATGTTGCTCTGTGGTTCCCTGTAAAAGAGTACACAATAATGTTCTTGAAGATAAGAAACGTGTGGAGAGAGACAGAGGCCCAGGACATCCTCAGCTGTGTCAGTCATACCAACTGAGTGCTAGGCATGCGAATGAGACCATCTTGTTTCCTTCAGCTCCAGTTGAAGTACCAGCTGGATGCAAATGCATGCACGAGTCAGCTGAAACCATCTGTTGCAGAGACAAATTGTCCCATTGAGCACAGCTCACGTTGCTGATTTTAGGACACTATGGTTTGTGGTTATTTTAAAAAATGTGATAGAGGCTTATTGAAACAGAAATTTATGCATAGGACTAGAGGTGCTACTGTAACAGAAATTTAAAACATATAGATTGACTGTGGGGCTGAGTGGCAGCTAGAGGCTGGAAGGATGATGAGAATATGAATGCTGGAACAGAAGTGAGGAAACTGCTCTTGGAGGCTGGAGAAAGGGCAACCTGTGTTATATTGTGGTGGGGCAATTATATATTGGAGAACAGATAATGTAGCTAATGAACCTGTGGATCTGGCCAAAGAGATTTGCAGGAAGAATATTGAAAGTGCCCACTGGTTTCTTTAAGCAGCACATGATAAGATATTTTATTAGAAAGAGGAACTCAAGAAGGAAGTGTTTGACTTGCAGAAGAATTTAGAGGCAATATAGATAATTCAAGACAGTCTTTCCAGAAAAAGATTGTCAAAGGAAGAAATGGTCTCAGGGCATAGAGTGAATCGAGATTGTAACTGTAAGACTCTTTGTTTAGATCTTAGAAAGATTTAACGTAGTTCTCAGTAGATCCTTTCAGCTAGACTAAAGAGTTTCCAATGCAACACTGACACCTACACAAAGTAAAAAGAGACATAATGTGGAAGGTGTTATGAATGTGGCTTTTGAAGCATGTAGTGACTCCCAGACAGATTTATGGGAAACCCACACAATTTTAAAAAGAATTATCCTGGCAAAAATACTACTATTTGGATTAAAAGAAAAAGAAACAGAAAAATAAAAAGGTCTCTGGCCTCCCAACATCGTACAGCAGAAAGCAGGTAGAGGCAGCCATCTGGCTGTGAATATGGTCCAAAGTGAAAGATGTCTCAGATGATGAAGCTCAGAGCCTGGAGTGTGGAGCCAAGAACCAAGGAGAACAATGACTAGAGAACCCCTCCCAGGAAGCAGAAAATAAGCGCTAATTAAGGAAGACTCTTTGCCCCAAAAGTTGGGGGAACTGCTGATATGTGCCCAGCTAGATTTAAAAAATGCAATAGAACAGTGCCTACAATGTGCCTCCCATTTATTCCCTTTTTATTTAAAAATTTTATGCACGTTTGTTGATTTTAGAGAGAGAGAGGAAGCGGGAGAGAGGGAGAGAAAGAGAGAGAAAGAGATGTGAGAAAGAAACATTGATTGTTTGCCTTCCTGTATGTTCCCTGACTGGGGATCAAAACTTCAACTTAAGTATGAGCCCAGACTGGAAATTAAACCACCAACCTTTTGTTGTACAGGAGGATGCTCCAATCAATTGAGCCATATTGGCCAGCACTACTCCCTTTTTAAATGGAGGTGTTCCTTGGGGGCTAGCCAATCCCTGCCCCACTATTTTCTATTAAATGCATTAAGGTCAAATAACTTGTCTTTTTAATTTATAGGTCACTGGATCAACATGAGCACTATCCAAGGAACTGTACCCAAGGAGCCCCATCTACATCTGAATTTGATTTAGATGATGAAATCTCAGACTCAGAATCTGATGCTAAAATTGGTTGAAAATTTGGGGTTCTGGTGAGGGGAGAAATGTATTTTGCACGTGGGAGAGATGTGAATCATCGGCACCAGAGGGCAGATTATTGTAAGTCTTTAAACAATGGACCTCAGTGGATCCTGTCTTCTCATGTTCATACATCTTTACAACTGATATTGCCTTTTCTTTCATCAAGAGGTAGAATTAATTCTCTGCCCTCTTGAATCTGGGGCTGATGTAATGACTTGCTTTTTTCAATAGACTGTGATGCAGATGATGCTGTGTGTGAGTTCTAGAGCAAGGCTTTTGAAGCTTCTAATCTCCATCCCTTGGAATGCTGTCCTGAGCTGCGCATGTAAGAAAGCCAGTCTAGCCTACTGGAAGATGAGAGGGTCACATGGAGGAAACCAAAGTGCACCAGCTGACACCCAGCACTAAATATGCAACCGAGGCTGTCAAGGGCCTTTCAGCCCAGCTGATCCTCTAGCTGAATGCAGCCACATGAGTGAGCCCAGGACAAGCCAGGAGAGGAATTTCTCAGCCAATCAATAAAATCATAAAAAATTAAATCATTGTTGCTTTAAGTCACTAAATTAAGTCACATCAATGTGTAATGTGCATAACATATTATGGGTAGTGTGTTAGCAGCAATAGATGACAGATACATTTAGTATTCATGAATCTAAGAAAACCACTAAATTCATACAGTATAAGAGTGTTATTTGTCTTAATGCTTTTTTGTAAGGACAATTAGAAACATTTGGATAAACGTAAATTTTAGTCTAAGCACCCAGCTGTATAAGAAATGTACACATTCTTCATATCCTTTAACACAATGTCTTCATCCTGCAAGGGTAATGGAAAATTTTATTTCAGTAATTATTGACCCCTCCTTCCCCTCTCAGGGCCTTCCACATATGGAGGTTGATGTGGGACCTGAAAAATAAGAGTCTGTCGAATTGCTACTGATACTTAAGCCCTTTAACCTCTGCTCCTGTGGTCCCCTAATAATCTTCAGCTTCTGTGCAATGTGTGGAGAACAACAATTTTTGCTGAAGGAGCCCTCATGTCTCAGGAGCCACTTTCTTTAGGAAAATCACAGACCGTCCCAATGGCCTTGAGCCTCCCCCACTCCACCCCAAAGTCATTATTCTCTTTCCTTAAAGGATAACCCATATTCATATCTCAGTAGCTCTATTGACTGGTTTCCTGCCTGTAGAATCCCAGATATTGATAGATTTCCTTCATTTTGTCCTGTCTCTGTTCCTTTCAGTCCAAGCTGGCAGTGTTTTTGGTGTTATAACTATCTCAGAATTCTTGTGAGTCTTCCGTGTATGTCAAGAGGACTTATATCATGAGACATGAGAGTTCTCTATAGATCCTTCCTGGATAACCCCATATATACTCCTGGCTTCTGCAGAGATGGTTAGTTGGATCCATGAATTACATACCTAATCTCTAGAGCAGAAGGTTGTCCATCCAGCCACAGCCTTGTTGCTCTCTCTAGAGCATGCCTTAAGCATCTTTCATGATATTGGTAGGCTAATTTTCCAAATCATCCAGTTCTGGTTCCTATTTGCCCAAGAGTTTCTTCTCAATATCTTTCTCCTCTCACATTTTACTATAAGCTGAAAGGAGACACCAGGCGGCACCTTCCATATTCTGTTGGGGAATCTCCTCAGCTAAATCTCCACATTTATCTCTTGCAAGTCCTACTTTCCACCCTGCACTAGAACACAATTCAGCCCAGTTCTCCACTTTAAAACAAAGATCATAAGAAACCAGAGATCTGTTTTCAGATAACATGCTCTCATTTTCATCTGAGATCTCACCATAGAAATCTTTAATGTTCATTTTTCTATCAATAATATTTTCATGATGTTTTCTCTAAGGTGATAGAAGCTTTCTCTAACATCTCAGCTTTCTTCTGAGCTCTCACCAGAATCTCTTTTAATGTTCAAACTGTTACTGAACAAAAAAAGGGGGGGGGGCTTGGCTGTTTGTCACCACAAAAACCAAACTTGTGAGGTGGGTGCTGATGCCAAAAAGAAAAAGGTTTTATTCAGATGCTGTGCCATCTTGGAGAATGGGGGACTCCCTGTCTCCTCCACAAAACCCAGACAAAACCCAGCCATGCTCAGCAAGACCAGAACTAAAGAAAGTGCTCAGAGTTCCTGCTCACCCAAGTAGCTTAGCTTGTTCCCAGCTGCTATCCAGCTTCAGACTCCCTCCTGGAGGCTGCACATGGAACCCGCGCAGCCATGGCCATGATACTGCTAGGGCCACAAGTTTGCATGCTCCCAGATGGGAGCAAATGCAAAAACACCAGTGAATATTTCACCAGGTCAGCAGGAGAGAGACTCCCTCCTGGAAGCCATGGGCCATGTGACTGCTAAGGTCACATGGCCAACAAAAAGGACAGGCCAGTACACTGGCCAAGTGCAAGTCCTGAGCAGCAAGTGATGAGCAAGAGAGAAAGTGTTTACTCCCTTGGGGCTATACCTGTTTGGGGTCTGGGAAGGGTCAGGTACTTTCTCAGAAAGATGAATTAACATCCTAAACTTTCACATGGTTTGGATGGGTCCACCTTCCAACCAATTACTTCTTTTCCCAGGCTAGACTGTCATGCCTCTTTGGTCTAGTACCTGCCACTACTGTCTTTCTGACTTGATGACACATTTACCTGCCTTCCCCCTGGTCCCATCCCCAGCTGGTAGCACAAGGGCCTGGGCAAGGGCTTTCCCCCTTATCCAATTATCTTTCTAACTTTTGGTGTGCTGGGAGGCCTATTCATTCATCTTTCCAGCTTTTGGCAGGCTTGAACCCTATTCATTCATCCCTCTAGCTCTTAGTACTCTGGGAGCACCATTCATTTATTTTTCCAGCTTTCTGCATGTGGTTGGCCTTGTATATTCATATTTCCAGCTTTCAGCATGCTCAGTCTCCCCCTGCTGCCTGCCATCTGGCTGGTGGGGGAGACTCCTCTGATTCCACTGTGGGTGAGACTGTCTAGCTTCCCTGCTCTTGGGGCCTGAGGGTGTGTCTTACAGCCTTGATGGCTCAGCCATCTCCAGGTGAAGGCTCTGCGGCAGCAGGGCCCAACCACTGCTCCCACTGTGGGGAGGAGACAGCCAAGCACTTGCAGTGTTTGCCAGAGTTCCACTGCCTCTGAGGTGGGCAGTCATGCAGCCAAGAGGCCAAGATCAGCTGAGCCTCCAGGTTCCTCGCCCCACCTACAGAAGGGCACCCCCTCCTCTCTGCAGCTCAGCACAGTCTGCTGAGCATCGAGTGCCTTGGCTCATTGAGAAAGAGGGTAGGCTGAGGGTATGGACTTGCCCACTGCTAACAATATATTCCCCAACAATCTCTTCAAGGCCAAATGGGCTTCTTTTTATTTATTTTATTTTTTTATCATTCACCTCAATGCTGTTCCAGCCTCTACTCATGACCCAATTCCAAAACCTTGCCTCAATTTAGGAATTTGTTATGGCACCACCACCTCCAGGTACCAAAATCTGAATTGGTTTCTTAAGGCTATTGTAACAAATTACCACAAACTGGGTGGCTTGAAATGACAGAAATTCATTTTCTCATGGTTCAAGAGTACAGAAGCCTAAAATCAAGGTGTAGGCAGGGTTGGTTCCTTCTGGAGGGTGTTCCAAGCCTCTTTCTTAGGATGTGAAGGATGCTGGAGGTCCTTGGCATTCCCTGGCTTGCAGCTCCATCACTATAATTTCTGCCTCCATCTTCACATGGCTCTCTTACCCCATGTGTCCTTTGTGTCTCTGTATGGCTTTAAAGATTTCATTTTTAGACAGAGTGGAAGGGAGAGAGAAGGAGAGGGAGAGAAACATCACTGTGTGGTTGCCTATTGCACATACTCTACTGAGCACCTGGCCCACAACCCAGGCATGTGCCCTGACTGGGAATCAAACCAGTGACCTTTTGGTTCACAGGCAAGCATTCAATCCACTGAGCCACACCAGCCAGGGCTGTGTATGGCCTTCTTATAAGGACACCAGTCATTGAGTCTAGGGCCTACCCTAATTGAAGATGAACCCATTTTAACCAATTACATCTGCAAAGATTTTATTTCCAATCAAGTCATATTTTGAGGTTCTAGGTAGACATGAATTTAGAGGGGCAATATTCAACTCAGTACAGTTGAATTACTCAGTACTTATTAATTAATTTTTAACTCCTACAATCCTCTAAAGAACAGATGTTGATCATGTTCACAAATTCAAAAGGAGGAAGAATGAATTTACTTCAAAAGAGACTATAGAAAACATCTGGTCTTAGGTTCCACCCACAGCATTCACTGTGGTCTTTCATTTCCTTCTGAGCTCTTTTAGTGTTAAATTCTCTGGCGATTCCCAATAAAAATTCAAGCTTCCAAACACCCTGACATTTTAAATCCCATGTCCTTGCTTCATTTTCTCCCTAACATTTATCACTACTTCAAAACCTTATATTTTGCTTATTTATTGTTGATCGTTTTTCTTCCTCACAAGAATAACCTCTGTGAAAGCCACAATTTTTGTTCATTTTATTCATTGCTAGATATCCCCAGCACCAAAAATAATATCTGGTGCATAGTAGGTACTTTGCTCAGTTAACATTTGTCAAGAAACTGAATGAATGGATGGATGAAGAAATTCTGGACAGTAGGCATCCAGGTGCTGTGGGGAGGGAGACCATTCCAGCACTGGGCAAATTTTGCCCGTTTAAGTCTCTTAGTGTCAGGTCTCCAGAGTTCTCACTTAGAGCCTCCCAGGTCTATTTGACAGTTTTAGACTCTTGGGAGGTAATTGTGATGGTTGCTTGGCTGGGAGCAAATAATAAAATGAGTTGGAAAGCCACTGACCCTTTGGGTCATTTTGAGAACTTCGCTTTATGTCTCCTTGTCTCACTGGCTCCAAAACTCAGTGTCCTTTACTTGTCTGTTAGGAAAGCAGTTGCTTTCTCTCCCGGCCCCTGTCTCTTCTGTCTGGGATGTGAGAATTGAAGACAAAAGTGTTAAAATCACTTCGAACTCCACAGAGGAGGGTGCAAACTAAGTTGAGGGAATTATTAGTAAAGAGACAATTCCTTTGAAAATGGAAATTGCTGGATCACACAATCTCCCAGCCACTGGATGGAATTAAGGAAGCATTTGCTAAAGAGTCACAACTTCAAAACAGCATCCAGATGGCTAAAGGAAATTTACATTTACACTTCAATCAGAAATTCCTTTGTAGAATGTAAGAGGGGAGGGTTCCGTTGTCTGAGATCACA